CCAAAGTTCTCTTTCTCATTTCCTTTTCTACTCATTAAGACCTTTCCCAAAGACTCAAATATTTGCAAATAGAAGTCCCCATGGAACAAGGGAAGGTGTTGCCACTACCCCAACCCATTTTCAATGCAACCATATACATTCCCTGATTCAAAGAAGTAGTCTTTTGATACGAAAGGGAAAATATTGACAGAAATCATAAATTTATATTATGAAGATTGCTTGGTCACACTCTCCACACTGAAGTATTTAATCACAAATTAAGATGTTCAGTATTGAACGTATGTCTCTTGGGACAGACGAGAAGCTCTACCCATTTGACAGACACCATTCAAGAACTCTTCTTTTTGTTGTTTTTACTAATATTTTATTCTTTGAGTCACACACCTCTCCACCTCCTTTACTCTCTTTGATTTTTGTTTTGTTTTTGAGACAGGGTCTCAGTGTGGAGTCCTAGCTGACCTGGAACTATGTTGACCAGACTGAACTCACCAAGATCTGAATGCCTCTGCCTCTGCCTCTGCCTCTGCCTCCTGAGTACTGGGATTAAAAATGTGGACCACCATGTCTGGCACCTCTTTGGTTTTGACTCTGAAAAAAATTACTTCTAGCAAGCCTGACCCCTCTATTTGTGCTCGTGATGCCATCAATTTTGCTGGCATTTTCTATCATCTTACAATCTCATGTACCTAAATTGCTACTTACACACAGGCTTTTCTCCCTGCCCATAAATATTTTCAACTTTTCTCATTGGCATTGTTTAAAGACTTCAGACTTTTCTTCCCCAAGAAATCTTGGAAGAAAGACCTAAACCTATAACCTCTAGTTTCTCGCTTTTTTAAAAATTTAATAACTACATACTTAGAAGAAGCATTTCATTACAACAACATTGACATATTCAATAACAATTTTCTGAGCTAAGTTTTCACCCCCTCCGTGTTGGGGTTTTGTCTAGCTTGGGCTTGCCCAGTTCTTGCACATGCTGTCACAAGAGCTGTGGGTTATATGTGCAACTGCCTTCCTGTGTCCAAACAACACGCAAACTTCTTTTAAATAGAATCTTCTATTTATGCTTTGACAATTTCATCTATATAATATATCATGACCATATGCACCCCAAATTCTCCTTCCAACTCCTCCTAGGTGTGCCCAATGTGCCCTCCTCCCCACTGAATGTCGTCTCCTTGTGTGTGTGTTGTTCTGGTTTTTTGTGGCTTTTTTCTTTTGCTGTATGTTTTACGGTCACATCCAGTGATTTTCTTTATCGGGTTTTAGGCTTCATTCTTTTTTAGTTCTTAATAACTACATGATTCGAAGAAGCATCTCACTACAGCTTTAACATATTCAGTAACACACTCCTGAGCAAGAGTATATCACTTTCACAAGTGGATGCAAGTTTTTGGGTCACAGTTGAGTTAATACAGTTATACAATATTGAACTCAGTATAAGCCCTGTAAGACATAAAATTGAATGAATTTTTTAACCTTTAAAAAAGATCTCCATTTCATTTTAGAATATATTGTTCCTTGCAGACAGACTCATGGTTTTTGCTACTAACACTGAGATATTGGTGCATGCATCTCTAATCTGTATGTATCTGATTATTACTAGTCATAATTGGTTGCACTTGGATCCTTAGCACATGTGTATGTCTATAAAGTCATCGGGTGGATTTCATTGGTAATGTTTATCACCTCTACTAATTAGCATGACATAAATTTCCATGCTTTCTCCTCAAATATATATTTTAAAATTTGATTTATGTGTGTGTATCACACAGAACATCCCAAACCATCTTATTCAACTAGTTTCTCGCTTTTAAACAAATTTCTTACAAACTCTACTATTTGAATACTCTGTCCTTAGTTGGTGGCACTGTTTGGGAGGTCATGGAATCTTTAGGAGGTGGAGCCTTGCTGGAGGAAGTGTGTCACTGAGGGGATCTTTGAGAGTTCTTAGCTTGGTCTGACTTCCAGTTTTCTCTGCTTTGTCATTGAAGACGGGAGCTCTTAGTTTCCTGCTCTTGCCACTGACTTTCATGCCTCCCACCACGATGAACTCTTACCCCTCTGGAACCTTAAGCCAAGTAAACTCTTTCTTCCAGAAGTTGCCTTGGGCATGGTATTTAATCACAGAAACAGAAAAGCAAGCAATACAGCTTCCAACATGGCACTACCCTTTTTTGTTAAACTTACTTACATGCATGTAATGTGTGCCCACATAGCTTTTTAAAAATATTTTATTATTTTATGTGTATTTATGTTTTGCCTGCGTGTGAATGCACCCATGTCAATGCAATGCTGTGGAGGTCAGAAGAGGGCTCCAGATTCCCCTGGAACTGGAGTTAAGGACAGTTCATAGCTGCCATGTGGGTGCTGGGAATCAAACCCAGGTCCTCTGCAAGAGCACTCAGTGCACTTAACCACTGAGCCATCTCTCCAGCCCCGTGCCCACATGACTATGTTCACCACGTGTGCAGACACCCATGGAAGTCAAAGGGTGTTAGATCCTCTGGAACTAGAATTATGGGTGGCTGTGAGCAGTTTCATGTGGGTACTGGGAACTGAACCCAGATCTTCTGTAAGACCAGTAACCTCTCTTAACTGCTGAGATGGCTCTCTAGCCCCAGGCCTACCTTTTTGGCCTCTCCTTCCATTTTAATCATGTTAGAGCCAGGAGAACAAGTAAAACATCATTGTAACAATCATCTATATTGGGATTAACTAGATTCCTCTTTGTTTTTATAAATTACGTTTTACTGGAACACTTAATAATTTCTATGTTGTGTTGATGTTTGTTTTTTTGCTCTGATAGTTCAGTAGTTATTAGAAACTGTTTAGCCTGTAAAACCTGTGATAGTTAACAACTGGCCTTTTAAATACTATTTATTTATATGTATGTGTGTTAATGTGTATGTACACGTGAATGAAATACCCATGGAGGCCAGACGAGGGTGGTGGATTCCCACACGCTAGTTACTGGTGGTTGTGAGCCTCCTGATCTGGGTTCTGGGAACTGAACTCAGGTCATCCGTAAGAGCAGCAAGCACTCTTAACCACTGAGTCATATCTCCAGCCCCAGTAACTGGCCTTTTATAGAAAGTCTGTTGACTCTTGTATAGATGACCTAGATAAACTAGGTCTAGGTTGAAAACTGTGTAGCAGGCATCAAGAAGAGATGATTACAAGAGATAGTAAGGAGATATAAGGGATAAAAGTTAATGACTAAGCCAGGTGTGGTGGCACACACCTTTGATCCCTGTACTCAGAAGGCAGAGGCAGGCAGATCTCTGAGAGTTCAAGGCCAGCCTGATGTATATAGCAAGCTCCAGGCCAGCTGAGGCTACAGGAGAGACCCTGACTCAAAAGAACCAAAAAATAAAAATAAATTTTAAGAAGTTAGTGGCTAATTGAAAGGGTGTAGTAAGGAAATAGGAATTTTAGAATGACACCTAGAGATTACAGTTGTGTTGGCTGGGCAAGTGGCACTGTCTTAACTAAGAGAGGAAACGCAGAGCCAGGGAGTCTGTTTATGAAGGTAATACTGAGGGTAGAATGTGCTGGTGATTTTGAGATAAGTCACATTTGAAACTGCTGAGATTATACCCAAATAGAGATAATGCACAGAACTTCAATGTCTACAAGGAAAATCTGAACTAAAGAGAAAAATTTGTGACTATTTCCAGAGGACAAGAAAGCTCATAACTTGCAAGGTAAGGGCATGTAATTTCAAAGTTGCACCATAAAGACATTTCTCCTTACTACAGATTCAACTGACAAGGTCTGCACACCATTTTCTCATCACACTTCATAGTGCGAGTCCAACATGCACAGTGGACCTTGTTGTTTATCTACTTGCTGAAATCTGTTTTTCCAAAATCACCCCTGCTGGTGCATTCATAGTCATTTGCAGACATCTTATCAGTGGTTAAAAATTTCATAAAAAGATTTTATGTGTATGTGTGCCAGCCTGGAATATATGTGTACTGTGTGCATATCTGGTGCCCACAAAGGCCAGAAGAGAGTGCTGAATCCTCTGAAACTGTAGCTACAGACAGTTGTGAGCTGTCATGTGGGTGCTGGGCTCAAATCCAAGTCCTCTGCAAGAGCAGCAAATGCTTTCAACTGCTGATCCATCTCTCTAGCCCCTTAGTATCTTTTAAGAAATAATTACACTTGCAATGATTTCAGTTTAAAATGTTACTGACAGTGAAGTGCTGTGTTGGTATTGTGTGGTTGGATTCCCTACTCACAGGAAAGCCCTGCATGATGTAGCTTGTGGAGAAAATGAGTGTTAGGCAAGGTTCAGGAGTTGATACTATTGGCCATGAGTTTTGTTTATAATGCTAGGCACAGGTTTTTGTTAGGTTTGGCTTGAGGCAGGGTCTCACTATGTAGCCCTGACTTGTCTGAACTCAGTATATAGACCAGGCTGACCTTGAATATGTAGTAGATCCTCCTGTCTTTGCCTCCCCAGTGCTGAGATTACAAGTATAAGCCACCAAACCCAGCCAGTTCAATGTTAACGAACCAGCAATATAGATTACACAAAGTTTCTTTAAACAGCAATACATATAAAAGGATACACATGGATGAGCTGACAAAAGATGTTATATGGCAGAGGTTTGCGGAAACCTTGTATCTCCTCAAGGAGCAATGCTTCTGTACTCACCAAGACAGTGCAAGCTTTATGTAGAACGTAACTACTGATATCATGAATAACAGGAATCAATTGTACCTTAGTCCAAAGATTACAAAACTCTTAAACAACTCTTTATTTACCTTCTGTGCCACATATAGGACAATGTCATACACTGACATATTATGAAAGTATTATTATCAGGGAATGGGCCTGCTTGTTTTCCAACTTATGTGGCCTTGCCAATGGATAGGACCCAATAAACACAGCTGTACTGGAACGGGAGCTCAAGCTAGAACTTCCAGGCAAGGGACTGAGAATAGCAGATTTTAAAATTCTTTAAAACACAAGACAACCACAGATGTAAAAAGAAAAGCAGTGCTTTTTAATTCTTAGGATTATTACGTTGAAAATAAGCAGTTTTTGTTTCTTCAAACTGTAATATTCCTAAATCTGTCTATATACTTTAAATTACATGATTATTTAGTAAGAGTTAAGATGACAAGGAATTTGTAATTTTTATGAAATTTACAATTATTTAAAATAATTTTATAAATTTAAAAACCAATAATGACCTCCCAAATGGGATTCAGACAATTTTTATACAATCTAAAATTAAAGTACCATTGTTTATACAAGAAGGACGTGTTCATTTCTAGGTATGCTACTAACCCAAAATTTCAAAATAACAGAAGAAATGTAAGCACTAACACTTATTACTAAGATACTAATGCTTATAAACGCTCCTTAGAACAAGGTTACTCAGAGTATGACCCATGAACTACTTGTTACCCATCCAAAATGAAAACGCTTGTGCCAGAATAAAAATGAACTGTCTCACCGGACATGCTGGTTCAATTGACTTTTTCCACAAGAAAAAAGTTGACTCCTATTCTGACACAACTGCCTTAACTCCCTTAGACTGAAGGGCTGGCACTGCTTGCCTTGTCTCAAGGGTCATTATAATTCCACTGCTCAATTAGGTAATGTGAAAAATTATTAGAATGACAATTTTAATTGCCATTTACGCATCATCTGTTTTAAAAGCCTACCCAACTAGATCCTATCCAAAAAATCAATTTGAATTTTATCAATTTTTATCACCCTTAACAGTTCTCTTCTGATATGTTAGTATTGCCAACACTGATTCACTCAGAGGGGCTCTCTAGACACTACCAAGATACCTCATCTGTTCTTCAAAAAATATTTTATTATTTTTATGTGCATGAGTGTATTGCCTGCATGTAGGTAAGTGCACCCAAGTTGTGCAATGCCTGCAGAAGCCAGAAGAGGGTGCTGGATTGCCTGGAACTGGAGTTACAGGCAGTTGTTAGCTGCCATGTGGGTGCTGGGAATCGAACCTGGATCCTTTGCAAGATCAGTCACTGCTCTTAACCAGTGAGCCATCTCTCCAGCCCCATCATCTGTTCTTGATAGACTTGTTTTTTCAATTGTGGAGAAAAAAGTTAGGCCATTTCTAATAAATACTTTCAAAAGATTTATTTCCACATTTCATCATGGAAAGTATTTAAATTCATCTTTATCAAAGGATAATTTTAAAATTCTTTGTGTGATCAGTAGTTCACTGTTTTATAATAAAGCAATGTAACAAGAAAAGGCATGGAAATTTACAACTCTGCAGTCTATTAACTTAAGGGAAAACATGTAAACTATTTAAAAATTTCTCAGAGAAAAAGAATTCAATAAAAAACGATTCTTAAGAAGTAGCTTATAATTAAAAACTGAAACATTTATTTTTTTGGTATGGCATAATACTTCTAAAACTTTTACAATGAAGTATCTTTTGGGACTCATCTCATTTTCTGATGGCTAAGCTTTACCTGAATTAATATTTGATGCAAATAAAGAGCCAATGAATAACTGAAACAACTCATCAGTTTTAGACAAACAAGAATTAAAATTAGCATCTTCAGTGCTTAGTTTATTGGATAGATTACTTCTTAAAGAAGTTATGCTTACTTTTCATAAAAGATGAACTCCTTTGGCACCTGAGTTGAGCACTACATACAAAGCAAATAATGTCTAACAATATAGTTTAGAGGCTGTATTTTATCTACACATATATACATACACCTATACATATACACATATGCACACATACAAAGTACAATTTTTCCTTTAAAAATTGCTGAAGATGTCAAAGGAATTCAACATTTAATCAAAGATACCTGATGCTCTTTTAAAAATAGTTTAACGTTATCTAAAGAATTTGGAGTTTACTAACAATTTCAAGAATTTACAGGTTGTTAGACAAAAATATATGCTTCAATAAAGAAATATAAGGGTTTTTTTTTTAAATGAAGTTTGATATTGTAAAATATCCATGAGACCAGTTATCTTTACGTCACATTATAACAAACTTTTAATGGCCACCAGTGGAAATTTAATGAGCACCCCTCCCCCCAAATGAGTAAGTTCCCTCCCATTAGGACTTAACAGTTACTAGCCAGTGACTCAACACTGGGCTCTCTAGACTCTCACCTGTGTTGCTCCCAGCAGACCAACACATTCACACATACAAGGACCTCTTCAGACCAACATACTCATACATATAAGGACCTCTTCAGTTATGAGGAATTTCAAACAAGAACTCTAGACGTGCCTAAATCCATCATGTTTTATGCTACTGAGGACTCGTGTTGTTACTAGTCCTACTGATGCTCTGGTATTTTTAAGGAGAACTCTAAATGATGGGCTTGTATTCTAATATTTAGGAGACATCCAAACTTCTGTAAACTGCCTCAGTCTCTCAACATTTTTTATGCTCAATTAATAAATACGTTTAACTGACTAAATTTAGAACTTGTTTAGTTTTACCTAATTCCCTTCTACTGTAGAAATTCTAGAGGATGAAGAACCTCTTAATTTGCATACCACACATTCTCCACCTTCCAGACCTTAATAGAGCTGAAGTACACTGAGTGGGCAAAAAGCATTTGAGTTGAAAAATGAAGCCATGCTTTGACTCAGCATGCAGAGTGATCAGTCTTGTTTCCTCTCCGTTCTCACTGAAGGAGTCCATTCACACAGCATACAGTATATAATGGAAATCTTATATGGCTTCAAATTATTTGTAATTATAAAACATTTTCAATTATAAAATGTCTCTGGAGCATCAATAAAATAGTATATATTTTGAGTTTTTTTGACAATTTTCCTAAACAAATTCTGTCAACAGTCATGGTATAGGATTCACCTTAGAACATACTAAATCCCAATGTCTTCATTTTGTTCAATATTCACTAGCCATAATATAACCCCTTTTGAGATATGTAAAACAATTCAAGTTCATCTGAACTTGAATTCTTTCGACCGCATGTGAACTCACATGCACGGTTTAAATTTCTATCATATACTTAAAATATTTTTTTCTCTGTAGAACACTTTCAGGATAGAAAATATCATTATGCTAACAAATAGAAACTTGGCATTTAAACTGTTCCCTAAGTTCTTCTAAGCAAAAGTGCATTTATAATATAAACATATCATATATGAAGCTAAAAATACAATCTCAGACCAGAGTAGATTTCAAATTTCCAAGTCAGTCCAAATGAGTCAGAGCAAAGTGCTAACAGAGCAAATCTGGAACGAGTTCATGGGGACTGGGTAAGGAGTCATCAAAGCGAAATCTTTTAGAGACCATGCTGCTCTCCTCTGGGATATTCTCTTTGTCTTCCCGATCTCCACAGCTTCCATTACAGGATTTGGAAGTCTTATCTTCTGTAGCCCTTATCAGATGATCCTGAATGTGAGAGGAACTTGAAATTTCTTCAGGGTGAAACAAACTTCCCAAGTCCCATTGCTGCAGCCAAGAATGAGAAAGGCAGGTCTCTGCTGTTGGTCTTTTCCTTTGAAAGAAAGCAGAGAAAGGTGAGAACTAAGGCAAGGTCAAGATCCCGTTTGACACACTGCAGTTGTAGTATAAACTTATTATGAAAACAGCACATTGCATAAAATCCAGAGTATAGTGGACAGAGTAGAAATAACGCTAAGACAATACCAGCTTTTACTAAATGCTTAGTTATATACCAGGATTTATTTTATATACTTCTAATACACTCTGTAATAATAGCAAAAGCCTTTGTAACGGGTACCATTGTGCCAAGAGACTTGGATTTGGGTTAAATTTTTCCAACTTGTCAGTGGCATGTTACAGTTTGTATACTCAATGTCCCACAAAGGTCTTTATTATTAAATGCTTGGCCATCAGCTTGTAGCGTTACTGGAAAGAGGTGGAACTAACTTTAGGAAACAAGGCCCACTGCAGAGTTGGATCACTAGGGCCATCTAGATGGGACTGAGCCTTCCTCGTGTCCCCTGCCATGATGTTCAATCTTGCTATAAAAACATTGGAGCCAACTGACACATACTGAAATCTCTTAAATGAACTCTTTCCTCTATTTAAGATGTTTTTCAGTTATTTTGTCACACTGATAGAAAACTGACTAGAATAAAGTGGAACCTTGAGCCTATATTTTGTACTTCTAAATATATCATTTTCCAAGGCAGTGAAAAGTAAATTATCTTCTGTTCTCAAATTATCCAGTCTCTACGGTTATTTGTGCTACTTGCTTTCTTTGCCCACCTGATCATTCATTTTTTCTATTTATTTTATTAAATAATGAACTTACAAAGAGAATTATCACACAGCTGACACACACTTGCCCAATCCCAAGCCCCATGAATCTCAACCACCTTCTATCTAGTAGCAATGGCTGTTTGGAAGCCATGGAGCTTTGCTTAAGGTTAGACACTTTTTACTATCATCACATTTTAAAGCAGTTATCCATCACAAAAAAGAAAACTATGACAGAGTTGAAACTAGCTTTCCATCATCTTTCATAACCTGTGCCCTTTTGACTTCATTCCATTTGTCTTCATCACCTACTACTACCCTTTCTTGGTCTCCTTTCTACATGTTATACTTTATCCACACTTACACCTGTTTACATGTATACATTATTGGCTTAGATCTGCATATTTGTTTTTCCCTAATTTTGGGTCACCTCACTTAATATTATACTTTCCAAGGCCGCCCATCTTCCTGCAAATTTCATTTTTCTTTACAGTTGAATATTCCCTTTTGTATATGTACCATATTTAAAAAATATTTTATTATTTATAAGTTATTTTATGTGTATGAATGTATTGTCTGCATGAATGTAAGTGCACCCATGTCATGCAGTGCCCTCAGAGGTCCAAAGAGGGACTGGAACTGGAGTTATGGATGGCTGTGTCACAGCACTTTAAATCTCTACTGATCCAAATGGTTGGGTTACAGAAAGTATGTAGCCTGCTGGGCATTACCTGGAAGAATCTGTGATACCACCCTGGTTTGTGTACACACAGAGGAAGTACTTGTCACTGTCTCTTGTCACTTCTTTTTTTTTTAATAACATTTTTATTTTATGTGTATACGTGTATTGGCTACGTGTAGGTAAGTGCACCCATGTCATGCGATGCCCTCAGAGGTCAGAAGAGGCTGTTGGACTGGGACTGGAGTTATGGACAGTTGTTAGCTGCAATGTGGGTGCTGGGATTCAAACCCGGGTCTTCTGCAAGAACATCCAGGGCTCTTAACCACTGAGCCATCTCTCCAGCCCCATGTACATTTCTATTATCCATTCATCTGTTGATAGACATCTAGGTTGGTTCCATTTCCTTGGTATTGTAAATAGAGCAGTAATAAACATTTTCATGGTAGGGTATGGAGTTCTCTGGGTATATGCCCAGGAGTGGAATAGCTGGGTCACATAGCTGGTAATAGTGTTTTTAATTTTCTGAAGACCCTTCAAATTGATATCCATAATGGCTGTATTAATTTGCACTCCACCAACAGTGAATAAAGGTTCCTTCTTCCCCACATCCTCTCCAAAATGTTGTCACCAGGTTTCTTGATGACAGCCATTCTGACTGGGGTATGGTGGTATCACAATGTTGAAAATATACCTTAAGCATCTTTCTACATCAATACAGAATTAACAGCTATCTTATCACTCTTGCACTCAGCATACCATAATTCATTTAGCCAGAGTCCCCTGATGCTTCCAGAATTTGAGTGGTATAAATAATGCTGTCATGAACAGTGATAAAATAGTTTTTTGGGGGAAACTTGGTTGATTATCTCCAGTGAATAAATTATGAGTAAAGTTAATGGGTTTTTATATTTTTAAGCGCCTTCCAAAGGACCTATACTATGTAATACTACTAATACATTCTACGAGATTATGAAAAAAATAATGAAAATTTCTATAGTACTTTATGACTTACTTTTTTGAGCTTACATCTTTATTTTTTAATCTTTGTTACATATAATTTTTTTCAGTGCTGGGGATCAATCCTAGGGCTTTGTACAAGCAAGACAAACTATCACTGATCTATGCCCTCAGTCCATGAATTCATATTTGTGTAAGGTAAGACAAAAAATATCTGTTTCTATAAACCTCTTCTTGGAAGCACAGCATACATAGAATTTTTAGTGGACAAATCACTATTTTCTCTCACCAGGAATCTTGACTCTGTCATTGACTACGGGGCAATGGAAGCTGCACTTGATTTTATAGAATAAAACTTTAAATTACAGAAATAAACACCTGCTTACTTTTAGGTAAATACCTTATTTTTCTTAAGCTGAACTGGGTCAGTTCAACTGAAACACACTGTGTAAATGTAGTTAGTAAGCTGATAAGTTATATATTGCCTATTTTAACTATACCTGAAAACACAGAATTGAAAAGAATTGAAAAAAAAAATGAAGGAAAGTGTGGCTTCCCATTCCCTCTTCACCTCCAAGCCTGCTGTCTGTAGACGTGTGGATTCATTTTACACATAAAAGAGTTCGAGTTTGTGAGTTCTGGAAGAAGGAAAACTGGAGTACAGTATCCTCTATCCTGACATACGCTGAAAACTCAATGTGCCAAAGAACTAGATGCAAGTCCAGAAAAAATCTTGAAGGCAAGTGTTAGCCTAGCAAATACTTAGTAAAATTATAAAATCTCTTCAATTTATAAAGTCTTTGTAAATAACTTATTTTCTCTACTATTTTGTGCTTTAAAAAACAGTAACTGTTGGGCTGAAGAGATGGCTCAGTAGTTAAGAGCACTGGCTGCTCTTCAAGAGGACTTGGGTTCAATTCCCACCACCCACATGGCTGCACCTGTGTTGTACAATGCCAGTGGAAGTCAGTAGAAGGTGACAGATCAGCTGGAACTAGAATTACGGATGGTTGTTAGCTGACATATGGGTACTGGGAATTTCAGCTGGCTTAGAACTCTCCCTATGTGGACCAGGCTGGTCTTGATTTCACAGAGATCCACCTACCTCTGTTTCCTAAGTGCTAGGATTGAAGATATATACCACCACACCTTGCTTTTACTAACATTTTTAATTATACAAAAAACTGGGTTTCACTGTAACAATTTAGTACACACATGTAATGTACTTCTATCGTGTTCACTCCCATTACCATCTCTTACCCTGCTCCCCACGACCCTGTCCTCTTCCCTAGTTTCCTTCAACTTTCATGTGACCTTTTTATTTTCCTATATTTTTCACACATGGGAGAAAACATGCATTGTAGTTTTTGTGTAGAATGTATCTGTCTTGATAGGCACATATTATTTATTTTGTAACAGCATATAAACACTACTTACTCTGGATTTTTTACTAGAAGGCTCTGGATAAAGTCTGTAGCCAACTGTGAAACTGATGAAAATGTTTCTTCTGAATAATCTACATTAACTTGAGAAATATTTAGGTATGTTTCTTGATTATCTTCTCCTACAAATGGTGATGTATGAGTTAACAACATATATGCTATTATACCAATATTCCTGAAAAACAAGGGAGAAGGAAACGTAAAATATGTATTATTTAAAAATATTTAGAGAAGTACAACCAACAGTCTACAAATTCCTATCCTCGAAACTGGTACAGTTAGATAGAAATTTAAACTGTTTCTAGAAATCACTATACACTAAAATCTAAAATAATTGTTATTTCAACTTGCTTTACAAAGAGAATAAGACATTTACATATGTGTTATATAAAACACAAAAATAATGCATTAAACATTTTATCTACAGCTATACAACCTTCAATAAGATGTTTATTGTGGAGTACACAAAACCACTGCATTTTCTAAAGGGTGTCCAATGACACAATGATCTGGGTGATACAATCGAGGTTTCTGTGAACACCGAATCTGCAAATTTGGCAAAGCACAAAGATGGATGGACAAGACTTTTCAAAGTTATAAATATGTTAACAACAAGGCTGGTTGGTAACTAGGAGCCAAAAAGGAATAAAGTATGCTTCATACACTTAGCCTTAAGATCTTTGCCTTTGCAAACCATTAACAGTTTTATAGAACACAGGAAATAAAGCTAAATTCTTCCAGTTGGCCAACGAAGTCAGGCTCTCCATTGCAGTCCCAACGGCAGTTACAGTGGTCCCTGAGCCTTACCACACTAGCTTCAAAACACCCTGACAAGTCTCTAGAGGCACACTCTCATAAACTAAACTGTGTGCATCTGACCTCCTCCTGAACAAATGCCTCTGCCTAATTCTTCAAGACTCACATTGTTAGGTGGAACCTTATACTTTGCCTGCTTGGATCCAGGCTTCTGAGCATTTTACTTTATTATACAACTGAGTCATGTAGGCTAGTTTGCTCTTTTACTCAACAGAGTTTTCATCACTGAGAGGGCCTTTTCTATTTCTGCACCTTTGGCTCAGAGCTTACTGAGAAAGGCAGGAAAATTTATTCCTCTATGGCATCTTTTGAATAAGATCTTTGGAAGCCTTATTTTAGTATTAGAAATGTTTAACCTAAATATATATTATCCAATATTTTGTTTGCTTTTTTTTTTGTTGTTATGGTTTTGTTAAGGCAGGGTCTCACTGTACAGCCTTGGCTGGCCTGGAACTTGCTTTGTAGGTCAGGCTGGCCTTGAATTCACAGAGATCTGCCTGCCTCTGCCTCACAAGGGCTGGGATTAAAGGTGTGTGCCACCACCCTCGGCAGATATTACCCAATTTTTAAAGAAGGTATTTAGATCACTAATACCACTCTTACCACATATCTGTTGCTGTGGTAATGGGATCATAGTTCAGAATTTCTGGAGCTGAAAGAGAAACAAAATTAAAATTCAACACTGGCAAACTTTAAAACATAATAAATAAATTAAAGTTGGGTTTTGGAAAATAGAGTGATATAATATCAATAGGAATTTACATTGTTTTAATTATCTTTGATTACACACTTAAAACATCTAATATTATATAAGTTGTATGAACAGGTGGGCCAAATATGCTTGGAGTAACTAGGAGCTGTGTAGTTTTAAAAAAACAAATTAATTAAAATTAAATTAATCTCAGAAAAACTAATTATGAAGAAATAAAATGCTAGATGCTAGAATCTTTAAAATGTAATTCTCAAAAATACCAAAAAAAATGTAATTCTATTTGCCATTAATTAATTTCTATTATTTTGTTAGTCTCATTTAAGTTTTTCTTTTCTGGGTAAAAAAGAGTCGTGTACTTGTAATGACATTTTAAGAAAAATGATGCTTCACAGAAATACTAAAATTTTCAAGTAGATTAAATATTCTTCTTAAATTATTAAAATCCTAACTTCCTAAGTAATTTCCAGATTATCTCTTTCCTTGTCCTCCCAAAGTGCAAAATAAATTCTCTCTACCTTCTGAACCTTATGCATTTTACATCTAGGATTTACAATAGAAAAATGACTATTTTACAATATGGGTTCATGATCTCTTTAAAAAGAAATTTCTTAACCTAGTATGAACTCTGAGTCATGGATATTGCCAACCTCAATACTATCTATGACCTTCACAGGCACTTTTATGAGATGTGTTAGCAATAACTGTAACTATTTATTCTGGGATACTGAAGCCCGTATTAGCGTTCAAAAATTAGTAATTTACCTTGCTTTTCATTTCTGGGAGACAACTGCCTAGCTCAGTGGTACCTGCTTGATTTAGCTTTATCTTTTCAACATATGCACGGAGATAGCCACTTGAATAACAACAAAAGGAAAAAATTTGTTGCCATACTAAAAAATGTTTTATATTTATATGCTGTCTCTCACATTCTAAGAATCTTTCATATGCCTGACTTTAGCACAGTATTCCCAGATTACCTAATCATCCTCTCTGGCACCCTTTTCCAAAATCCTTTACAGTGCAATAGAAATTTTCATATTTAAAAAACAATAGCCACAAACAACTAACAACATTGCCTGCAAAAACAAATGTGTCCTGCAACAACTCTGGGGCTAGGCTCACACAGAAGGAAGAGATTTGAGAGCTACTCTACAGCCAGTCTTAAAGGCAATCATGGGCCACTAGACTCTGTTTTCACTTCATCTATTTTGTTTTTGCCTATTCTCTAGATAATTTCCCTCTTCTTTTCTCCTTACATACAAAAGTAGTATAAACAAACACTAAACTTGCACATTTAGTCAATATCTATAACTTGTTCTGAATGTTAATGCTCCTGCCTTTACAACATTTCATTTAGATGTGGCATAACCAAGTTTCACTGCACTAAAACACTTGAATCAAGTGAGTCCTGGAATTATGTATTCTAAAATTTTATTTTTTGTCTTATTTGTTTGGTTTTGGTTCCAGATTTGAATCCAGAACCCTCAACATGCTAGGTCAGCACTCTACTATTAAGCTATACCTCAACCATAAAACAGTTTTAAAGAGATATCATTAACTTAATAAATCTCAAAAAGTATAGGAAGTAAGAGGGAATTCTTACCTAAGTATTCAGGTGTTCCCATGATTTCCCGAAGCTCACATGCATTCCCAATTTTTCGAGACATCCCAAAATCTACAATTTTTATGTCTCCAAGTGGGTATATACTGCTCAGCAGTATATTCTGTGGCTAAACAAAGCACAACAAAAAGTGATAAGCAACATACAAAGAAAGGATACTAGACCTAGACTGGGGGCAAATTAAGTGGAACTTGTTGCACAGCTATTACAAATTTCATTTAGTCCTTCGACCAACATTTACTGAATTACCAGTTAGGAAGAGTACACATTTAATGATGTATAAAATCTAAAATCAAAAACAGTCAAAAAGGATTTTCTATTCGCAAGACACTGGACTGACTGATTACATGATACAGAGTACTCAGTACTAAAGTCACAAGACTACCTAATTCTGCCCACAAAAAGTCCAAGTAGTCCATCACATCTGCATCAAACACAAACCATTCACACACACACATACACACACACACACACACACACACACACACACACACACACACACACACACACACCTCACATACACGGAGGGAAAAAAAAAGTCCAAGACATGATGCATAGGTTGAGTCTTACAGGACAAGGATATGCCAACTAGGAGGTACTCAGCAGAGTAGCACAGAAAAGGACCAAGAAAGACTAAAAGGACTAAGGAGGACTAGAAAGAAGTAAGCATATGGATTCATGGAACAGAAAATGGTTCTGTACAGTGTGATGGTTCTAGATGAGCTAGGTCTGACTGTTCCAAGGTTGTAATTTAGACAATAAAATGCCTAGCATATTTCATCCATTGCCTCTGAGGGCCACAGAACTTTATTATTGTAAGCACAAGGAACTACGACAAAAGTCCCTATCAAATCCCAATATAAATGCAGGTGTTGCTCCTCAAATCTGTGCAAAGAATCACACCAGTCTCTTAACTTTGGAAAAATACATGGTTAATACTGGATTATAGAGAGTAAGTAAGGATAAGCTCTGCCGTTAACTTTAGTCTTCAGGGTATGAAAAGCCAGGTTAATATGCCATCCTGATTTCAAATGATGTGTGATGCTACATAATACAGTTGGTTTGTCCTAGGCAGGAAAAAGACCAAACAGTTTCTGATGGGAGCATGATCACTCTGGAACTTACTGTGTTGCTTCTTTTTCACATTTCATCAGTAGTAGAAACTGTAGAAAGGCTAGATGGTAAAAACTGCTCCCTCTCTACAGGGTGCAAAATACACAATTATGTCTCTTTTTTAAAAAATGTAGGAGAAGTGGCTGAGTCATGTACATTTTAAAGTACTTATAGAACTTTCAAATGGTATCAAATCTACAACTGGAAAAAGAATTTGGAAATAAAGAGACAGACCTAAGCTATAGGCAGTGATTTTGGAATTATTATGAAAAGTGAAAGAGATCAAAGAATAATTCAGGCAAATTGTACAGAAAAAGAGTCTGAAGTTTAAAAAAAAAAAGGACTGGTTAAATTCAGACTTTAAGGTCTCTGGGTGGCTATGGAGAAAAGATAAAAAAGGACAACAAGAAAAGCCATGGTTTGAAGGCTAAAGTAAGGACTTCAGTAAAGAATGATCTAGAGACAAAGGGCAGAAAGCATTAAGAGAGAGATGAGTGAGATGAGTGAGATAATGGAAGCCAGGGGATGAGGAACAATAAGAGTGGAGACAGAGACCACAACAGAGCACTTTAAAGGTCGGTGGAGCCACAAATGGTCTGCGATGTGCCTCCAAGAGCAGGGTGGAGGAGAATGACGCAGGATTACCATGAGCGATGACTTTAAGAGTTCAGTGATTTAATTCAAGCTTCTCACACATGGCAGCCTTATCCTACCTACTAATGCAAAGTAAAGTCCGATGTAGCACGTAGGCATGCAGAGACACTCACTGTAGTCTAGACAACCATGACACAGCCTATTTCTATCAAAACCAGCCTAACATTGTGTTATCAAGAACAGAGAAAGAACACTAATGTTGTGTTAGTTTAAATCACGTTACCTTACCTTTAAATCAAGGTGAACAATGTTATTCTGATGTAGATAATAAACTCCTTCAAGTATTTGTTTAATGAGTCTGATAACATCATTTTCAGAGACCATTTCAGCCAGCTCAGGTAAACACAAGTTGAAAATTTCTCCACCTGCAGCACTGAAATAAAATTAAAATGGAACCTCTTGAAACTAAAAATAACTTTTAAAAGGTTATATACCCATTAAGTAAAAGACACACAGCCATCTAAACTTTAGTGTATGTGTAAAGTCTTAATGACTGCCAGGAGGAAGAATGTGTCACACTTAGGATAAGGTGATCTCTAATTTAAGTACCAAGTTAGAAGTTACAAGAACTAATGAGTTATACTGTATCTGTATGGATTCATCTGTACACAGCATGTCAAAGAAAGCCAGGGAGATTTGTTGACACTTTATAATAATAGAGAAAAGAAATCATCAGTTGGTAAGGAACACATCTGAAAGTGTCAGTCACATATATTTCATTTCAGTCCACTCCATTTATCCAAACCTGAAAAGTCATGAGAAGTTAATTTTATTATCTGACTCAAGGTATCATGGTAAAGCCAATCTGAACACTGGGAATTCTACACTGCTATTGTATTCATAATAATGAACTCCAAAATAAGGCACAGGAAGGCAATATAGAAAAATTGCAGTATTTTGTATCTGAAAAAAGAATAAATTCATCTTTATGAAGTTAATATACTGTTCCTGGTTGATCTGCTGATCTGCAATGCCAGTGTTTACCCTCCATACCCTTTCCCAAGCCTCTCTTAAGGAAAGAGCGGGGAAGCCAAGGCACAGGCCTGTAGTCACAACTTCACTCCTTCCCTTTCTAGCTGTTATTTACTTTAACTAAAAATCCCTCTAAAAAATAGAGTGCTCTAGCCTAGCTGGGCATGGTGGCACATACCTTAATTCCAGGACTCGGGAGACAGAGGCAGAGACAGGTAGAGTTCTGTGAGTTCAAGGCCAGCCTGTTCTATGTAGAGAGTTACAGGTCAGCCAGGGCTACAAAGTGAGACCCTATTTCAAAAACAAACAAAATAAACCAACAAAAAGACAAAACAAGGGCCTGGAGAGATGGCTCAGGAGTTAAGAGCACTGGTTATTCTTGCAGAGGACCCAGGTTCAGTTCCCAGTACCCACATGGTGGCTAACAACCATCTGTCGCTCCAGTTCCAGGGGATCTAACAGCCTTTTCTGGCCTCTGTAGGCATTACATGACACGGGTGCACTTACATACATACATGCAGGCAAAACACTCATACACATAAAATAAAAATAAATAACAATTAAAAAGAAAAAAACAAAAAAAAATTAAGAATGGTCTAACTATCTTCCTGCAAAGGCACTCAAGATAGTATCACCAATCATATATTAGATAATAGATGTAATTCCAAGCAAATAAGAAAACGAAGAGCCAATATTTCAGAGTCTCATAAAATGAGCTGTTTGCCAGGAACTTTACAAGTAATAAAATGCAAGAGAACGAACTGAGAAAATCATGGACCACACTTCCTAGTGCCCAGGAAACAGACACAGGTCAGCTCAACAGGGGCACAACCAGAAATCAAGACTGCCTGTTTCATTCTAGCTCTGCCACCAAGTTAACTAGTACTGGACAAACTGTCTCTTCTTCTACTGTGACATATGAATAACAGCTTCTATTTCATTGGTATAATAACTAAGTCAGATAATCATTATAAAGTATTTGGCAGAATAGATATTATAAGAATCAACACAGATCATGTCTATATAAGTATTTATTGGTGCCTGGGACCTAACAAATATTTAGTAGATATCAGTTGTTATTGTCATGAACCATCAAACACAATTCCAAGTCTAGTCAATACCTCGCTTTGAATATGAGAACTCTTTGTAAAACTCAAATTTTAATGGATTTAAAATTCCTTAGTAAATTTTTAGAAACACTGTATCACATATAAAAATGTGTATACTGTTTGTCCAGTATATCCTATCTTTTCTTCTAAAAGTGTGTGTGTGTATGTGTGTATATATATATATATATATATGGCTTTTAAACACAAGAGTATAAAGTAATGACAGTTTACATATGATTTTTATTTTCTACATTTCTAATTTAATGCAATGAATAAGTATTACTTTTATAACCAGGAAAAGTAGGAAAAGTATGCTAGGTAGTTTTTGCTTATTTCAATAACAAGATCAAACAAAAATCTATGATCAACAGATTCTTCCTTTTAGTTTGGCAGACTGATCAGTATCTTTTTCAGGACAACAAATTTAGAGATTCAGAGTGTTTGCTGTCGTTTTCATTTGCCTATTCATTTGTTCACAGGTAGATATCTGTGAAATCAAGGCCAGCCTGGTCTAAATAGCAAGTTCTAGGACAGCTGGGGCTATCCCTGTCTCAAAAAAACAAAAAAGTATACTGCATAACCAATTTTAGTTGGCTCAAAATTCAGCATTAAAAACTTAATATGCCTAGTTAAATAATATCTTCTCTTTACTTTGTGCATATTCTTCTTAATTATACAAATATGCTTTTAAAACACCTAGTATCGACAATGTCTTCACCTCGTGAAGGGTGACTCAATCAATGGAGGCCTTTGGAAAACAGCCATAATAAGTGGCTGAGGACATAACTCAGTGACACAGCATGTGCTTATAAGAATGTGGCCATGGGCTCAATTCCCAACACAAAAAAGGCATCAAGCAGTTTTATGTATCTTGAGGTTTAAATTGAGCAAAACCTTTGTTTTTATAATTCAAAATTATTTTTAAGAAGGATTTAAGACAAATCAAATCTTAACAGTGAATATAAGCAGATGTACATTAACTATAAAACTCTGACTATATACTGGTAACGGGCTAGTTTAGTTAAAGAGAATGGCAAAAATAAAAGAGCACAAAACCAAAAAACCAGTCTACTGTGACTAAGCAGTTTGTTTCTGCTAGTAGTAGAGCAGTTTTATGCTGAAACAAATGTGTATGTACTTTTGGATAAGGCAAATTAAAATTTTTTTGAGATCCAGAATTTCACTGTAGAAGAAAGTGACAGAATGTGATAAAATGTGAGAGGATAAAGAACCTGCAGGTGGCTGAGCTGAACTAGAGCTATGAAAATAAATTCATGATTCTTTTAATTCATGAATCTGTTTTTGGTATTTTTTTTTTTTTTTTTGAATTTTTGAGACACAGTCTCCCTGTGGAACTCACTATTCAGACCAGGCTAGCCTTGAACTCACAGAGATCTGCCTGCCTCTGCCTCCCAAGTGCTGGGATTAAATAAAGGTGTGCATCACCACACCCGGCCAAATTCATGATTCTTAAAAATTATAATATCTTGGGCTGGAGAGATGACTCAGCCACTAAGAACACTGGTTGTTCTTGCAGAAGACCAGGGTTCAAATCTCAGTACCCACATGGTAATAGTAAATAAAAATTTAAAAAATTATAATATCTTAAGACTATTCTTAGAAAAAGCCTAAGCCTAACAATAACCCATTAACAATGAGCCTATCTAACACCCATATCTTGGTTGTTAAGCACCATTTTCCACTAAAAACTAGCATGAAGAGTTGGCTGACCAGGTTCAAGCCAGAGAAAATACAAGGTGACCCTGGAAATCTTGTGTGCAAAATAAGGCAGTCTTCAAACACTAATAAGATAGGAAGTTTTCTTTCTTTTTTTAAATATTTTATTTATTTTTATTTTATGTGTATGTGTGTATTGCCTGCATGTAGGTAAGTGCGCCCATGTTGTGCAATGCCCGAGGAGGACAGAAGAGGCTGTCGGATCCTGAGACTGG